GTCAGTCCCCAGACTAGAGAGAATCTTCTAGGCAGGCAGCAATGGTTTGTGGCCTTCCTTACCTCAATGACTTTCTAGGAAAACTGATCGGGAACATTGCAAATGGAGATGACATGATCACAGGGTACTTGATAACCAATCATAAGTGCAAATAGGTTGTGAAGTGCCCAGATTGCAATCATGTGACCATTTAACTCCAGGCATGAGTCATAAATCCTTTTGTGTAATACCATTGTAATTTTAAACATTTCATTTTGCAACGAAGCATATTTTTTATCTAGTTCTCTCCCTCTGTGATATGAGTGAATAATAAGACTGTCTAATAAGAATGTTAGAGATTTTGTCCATGATGACCATGATTTAGAGTTGGAATAACATGTAGCAGAAATCACATATAGTTTGAGTTTTTTTAAATCGAGGCCATTTACTAACTTTACTCACCAACATCTACATCCACAAGAATTCGATCAATGAACTGGCAGAGTATTTGTCTTGGCTTCTGTACCACAGTATTATATTCTTCTGGTGTAGCGCTGAAATAAAGATGCATTTAAAAGTTATGTTATCAAAAGAGCTACCTCTTATACTGAAACGCATAAGAACAAATCCAGTATTTATTATGGTCACAGACCAGAATAATAGTGATATACATAATTAACATACACACATATATACATGTAACTTTATACTGTTAAGTTTTTTGCACATGTAGTAAACAAATAAAAGGTACAACATGAACTATTTAAAACATTGCAGTTATTAAAATGCTGGATTTCAAGCACTATATATTTTTGGGAAAGAAGTTTTATTTGTAGAAAATTAATTTTCCCGTCGACAGCAATTTGTTCACGGTATCAAAATCTTAAGTAGCCTATGAAACATATCAAAAGCATATTATTCAATCAGAGATGGAACCAATCAACCAATGTGAAATGTGCTATTATCAATGATTTTGTGAATGAGTGCATACAATTAGAATTGTTAGTGTATTAATTACATTGTGAGTTTCATTTTTTTCTGGCCTCTCCCTATGTAATTGAGAATAGTACTTTATTCACTTGTTTAAATTACCTGTAATCTATAAAGTTTATACTAAAATGTTTTAAATATTAGATACTCTAGCCATATATTTATCCATCATATAACATACTTTCATAGGCTAGTGACCTTCATAAGACCCTCAAAAATCTATCCCCAACTGAAGAATAGAAATAACAGAGTTGGTAAGGACCTTGGAGGTCTTCTAGTCCAACCCCCTGCTGGAGCAGGAAATCCTATATCATTCCAAACAAATGGTTGTCTGATCTCTTCTTAAAAACATCCAGTGTTTGAGCACCACAACTTCTGGAGGCAAATTATTCCATTGGTTAATTGTTAACTGTCAGAAAACGTCTCCTTAGTTCTAGGTCACTTCTCTCCTTGATTAGTTTCTATCCATTGCTTTTTTGTCCTGCCTTCTAGTACTTTGGAGAATAGGATAAGAGAATCTCCTCTTCTATGTGGTAGCTGCTCAGATATTGGAACACTGCTATCATGTCACCTAATCCTTCTTTTCATTAAACTAGATATACCCAATTCCCTCAACCCTTCTCCGTATGTTTTGGCTTCCAGGCCCTTCATCATATTTGTTGCTCTTCTCTGCACTTTCTAGAGTCTTGTCAGGGCCCTCCAATGTACTAAATTCCCAAAAAGTTGGGGAGTGCCACGTTTATCATTTTTGTTCATTAATGGAAATAAACTAAGGAAGTGAAAGAAGAGTGTACATATGCTATAAAGTATACCTATTGAGTAGTAAAAGCAAACAAAAAGTATAGTAATAAATTCAATTCCCATTAATTACAACATTACCACAGTAAAATATGCTAATTTTGATGTTCTTCTAGGCTAGGAAAAAATAACAGCCAAGCTTTTTGGATCTACCATTTTGTTCAAGAGCTACCTTCACCTCCCCTCTTTTGCCAGCCGTGTCTCTGAATTGCAGTTTCACACGACTCTGCAAAGACAAATGATGATGAAACGGAGCATCTCGAGCTCCTGGGAAGAAAAGTGGATTACATACAGTAAATACAGCGATTCAGAAAGAATCTGAAGGCAAGCAACAGAAGGGTTTGGTTTCAGCTTCACAGACCTGCCCAGTTCCCGGAGGGCTGGAATCATGGAAGCCAACTCCAGCCCCTGGTCAGCCATCCTTGACTCTCCCGAGTCTCCCGCCAGCTCCGTTTCGACCCTTTGCTGTTCCCACCCCTTTTCCCAGCCGACAGGAAACTCAAGGACGGTGGCTCGTTTGAGCCAAATGTCGTGTTTCTTGCATAATCATACCCCTTCGCGTAGATTAATTGCTTCCCATGGAGACCTTCATGTTAGATAATTTGCATATGTCATATTATTAACAACTCGCTGTCATACACAGCGCTTGACTTTTGAAACTTCAATTCTACCTGCGTCCTGCGCTGAACTCGGCGGAGTTTATTTCCCAATTTTATATGTTTGTATTTTTTTCTAAGTTTGCACGAGTCATGCAGTAGCTTTTTTTCAAACAATTCCCAGCTGTGTCTATAGTATAGACTCTATGCGATTGTATGTGTCCGTGCAGAAATACGTCACTGTAAACGACTTCCGACACTTCAAACCCGTGCTGTTTCCTAGCAAGCTAATCGTACCACAGTACATAAAAGGGTTGCATGCAGTTCTAATAACAAAATTCAATATGCACGCTAAACAACGTTCAGAGATCCTCTTTAAAAATATCAGAACTGAAAAGACAAGTGTGCTCAAGTGCTGAGAATATTGGTAAGGAGTTATGACTGGATTAGCAGTTCCCCCACAAAGCATGTTTAAAAAGGAGGGATTAATACAGGGGGTCCTCAGGTTAGGACCACAACTGAGCCCAAAATTTATGTTGTTAAGTGAGATTTGTTACGTGAGGTAACAACTTTTCTCATCCCATTTGTTAAATGAATCACTGCACTTCTAAAATTAGTAACAGGGTTGTTAAGTGAATCTGGTTTCCCCATTGACTTTGCTTGTCAGAAGGTCACAAAAGGGATACAAAGGATACAAAAGGAATGTAGGATACTGCAACAGTTATAAATATGATTCAGTTGTCAAGCATCCAAAAATGTAAATCGTGTGACCAGGGGGATGCTGCAACAGACAAAAGTGTGAAAAATGGTCATGTCACTTTTTTCAGTGCCATTGTAACTTTGAATGGACACTAAATGGACTGTTGTAATTCGATACTGTAAGGATACTGTAAAATCTCTAGTCAGAGGTGGTATTTGCCGGGTCTGCCCCAGGCTCTGGAGACTTTCCTCCAGCCTCCAGGAGGGCGAAAACGGCCTCCTCAGCTCTTGAACTTCCGAGAGGCCCATTTTTCACACTCCCCGAGCCTCTGCACGTGCCCTGCACTTACTTGCATCCAAAACGGGCTGCGTGGGGACTCCTGGGAGGGGCAGGGTGGGTGGAGCCAGCCAAGAGTGGGATTTGAGGGTTCTCCGAACTGCACAGAATCTTAGCCAGGGGCTCTCCTGAACCCCTGCGAATTCCCAGCAGCCCACCACTGCCCTTCTATTTCCCCCCCAAAACCACCATGTAAGATCAGCTTATCCAGTGAACTCTCATGGTTGAAAATACATTAGAATGTGGATCTATCAAACATTTATCATTACTTTAAATTTGCTCTCAATATTTAACGAGTGGAATAAGCTGGGAATTACATAATAAGACATAGGTAAGGTCTCAACACTTTAGCAGTTGCAGGATCGAAGGTGGATTGGGAATGAAAGGGATTATGGGCATTGTAGTCAAACATATTTGGAAAGCATTCAGTTGGAGCAAATTGCTTTACTTCCTGCCATGACTGCAAGTGAATGCAGACTTCTTTAATAGTGGATAATGTTTTATACAGAACCAAGAACAAGCATTTACCACCATCACTAGAGACCCTTATGGCTGAACTTCCATCTCACAGTCAATTGTAGTTGGGTGTGACATAAATTTAATCAATTATTATTGTCTCTAGAACTCATCAAAATATGAGATTACAAAGCCTTTAGTGGTGAAGTGGGATGGAATTGACCATCTGAACTACTGTTGCCACAACACATAGAGCCGCGCAGTGTTTTTATGCTTGTAGTGCTACTTTATCTTAGTTCAACATAGTGCTTTAGTCAAGCACAGAGAATTATTGATCATTATTCTCACTGCTTCAAGAACTACCATTTCTAACTATTGCAAACTAGAATTTGAAACCAGCTTCCAGAAATTCCCATCCAAGGACTTAGTATGATTAAGAAGATGATTAAATAGATTCCAATGAAAATTATCTAAATATCAGTAAATTTTATGGTCTTAATTCACATCATGCTCATTTGTTTATTCATGGTGTAAATGAGTGAATCACAATTTTGGACACAAAGTTACAATACCAAATTTACAAATCATAATGGTTAAATTCATTCAGTAACCAAACCAAAGAGAAACTATAAGGCGTAGTGAAATGTGAATGCAACTTTTTTTTTTTAACTGAACCATAGTGAATTTGTATACAAGGAATTATTGTAGTTAGCTCACATTCCAGCTACATTCCCTTAAGGTCTATTCAATTAGGCTGAAGGATCACCGTTTCCAAATCCCCAGCCACGACAGCAACTGTCTATGCCAGTTGGAGATTGTAGGAATTGTAATGCTCCAATACCTTGGGTTCCTCGAACTGGGGAAAGGTGTTCTAAGACAATGAGCCTCGATCTTTAAAAACTTTTAAAATCACATTACTTTTTGCGCAATAAATGAACCAGGTAAAAACCATCCGTTAGAAACTCATCAGACCCGTCACCAGCTCAGAACACCCATGAAATTTAATTAGTTTGTTTTCAGGAGGATAATTGCGGCTGGAATTTGATCCCTGGCAGCTCTCCTCCCGAGAGTCCTTTGTAACGGCGATGTTTGTGCTATAAACCCGCCTCCTACTGCCGGGAAGAAGAGGAGACTGATTTCTATAGCTGTCAGTCAACAGCGATACGAGGGTGGGACCGGCGACTGCCTGCAGGTGTTCTCCTGTATACGGTAGTACTTTCCAAGGCTTAGTTCAGAAAGTGGATCTGCGACAAAATTCAGCTACGAAGTAGCTGCGGCAGGCAGGTGAGTCCGGATCCTTGATGTATAACAGGTACTTTTCCGTCAGCGGCGGTAGGGCGGGTAGCACTGATTTTTTTAAATTTCATTTTACTTTTAAGAAAAGCTGTTCATCAAATGGACGGTTTGTTTTTAGACAGCTTTAATCGTTTTATAGGCTTTGTCATGCTACTTCCGTGAGTTTTTAGAGTTCTTAACTCTCACACCCATAACTTCTGTGTAAATAGACCCTTAAACATAAGTGAACCTTTGATTAAATACAAAAGAACCCTGGCATTCATAACTATTTCCTCCAGCACAAGGTATGTTTTCAAGAATCTCAATCTCATAAGGGAGCAATTTACAGTGCCCTTATTCTTGTCTTATACGGGTGCAAAGTGCAATTGTATAAGTTTTAGACAGGCTAAATAGGAAAATTATGAAACGTTTTTCCCTTTTCAAAGGTAGAGAGTATGAAAATGAATTATATTTCTGACAGTAAACATATTTATGAAGGAAACTGTTCAGGATTGAAATAAAGGCTATGTTTTAGCACTTCCCTTGAAACAAACTGAACAATCAGTTCTAAATAAGCATAACTCAGAAATACATATCTCTGGGAAAAAGTTTTTTTTTTATAAAAGTCTTTAGAATTGCGGCTGAAAATGGCAACTGTCTCTTCATTCACAGTGAATCATAAAATATGCATACATCAGTAAGTTCCAATTTATTCCTTCTTGCCTTACTTTAAAGATCAGAGATTATCGGTGGTATATGGAAGATTTGGGACAACCCTAGGCTATAAAATATCATATTAGTTTTACTTTTTATGTAGAACTTTAGGATCTTTCTTGTTCATTATAATAGATAGCAATGGAGGAGAATAAAAAATTCATGTAGTAATCTAATCCTAATACAGCCCAGGCACTCAAAATCCCCCTATTGTTTTCAAAGGTATTAAATATGTATCTATTTCAAGAATTTGCCAAGATATTGTTGCAAATATTTTTGATATGACATTGTGATTCCAAATGATGTTGAATATCAAAAAAAATTGAGGTCTATTTTGTAGAATAGCTTTGAATTTGGTTTTATGTATTGAAGCTAGAATTTGAACATGTATCCTTTCTTTATTACATGGGAATGTAATAAAGGATCCTGTTTTATATTAACAACCTAGTTAATAATTTTCTGCCTCTCTGAAATTCTTGAGCACATTTTTCTCTCTCACTCTTAAGAATTCAGAACAGCTTTTAGGGCAAATTTGTTCTTCATTCTGATCAAAGGTTTTCAGTATGAATTATTTATTTTTAATTTTATTTGCATGTCCTGCAATTTTTATATACCACACACACACAAATATATATAAAATTTCAAATAAAAACAATATTCTATAGTTGTATATATTCGTATGAAAAAATAAGGCAATTAGGTAGTGCCTTCTTTTAAGATTCCTGTAACTATTAATTTATATATTTAAAGGAAAATATATCGCCCCACCCAACTATATATCTTTCTTCTTCATTTTTCTGTAAAATGTATATTGTGTGATGATATCACTGTGAGCTTTTGGACAGAATCTCTCAGTACGATCAATTACATTAAATCCAAAATATAATAATACTTGTTGAAATGTGAGCGTTAGAAATTAAAATAAATACTATTAAAATACAATGGCAAAATGAGCAACCTAAAACAATATAAAATATACTGATTAAAAAGGAAGAAAGAAATGGAATATGAAAACTTTCATGCATAATATTCACTCAAGGAAGTCTTGAATGAAGAATTAGTTCAATAGATAGTTAAAAACATAGTGGGGGAAGACTCAATATTCAAGAATGAGAACATCTAGAGAATAGAATGAAGGGTGAGAGACATCATATGAAGGGAGATTTTATCAAGTTTAGTGAGCATCTAAAAAAAGCTTTAAAAATGGATACAAATGCATATATTAATCTAGAAGATTTTAAAGGTTAATGTACAATTAAAATCAGAAAGCTTTCTTTTGAGACTAATGGACAAGCAACCAGAAAAAAGTCACAGGGCTTTGTTTTTATACATGATAATATTATATGGTTTAAAGCAGAAAGGCTTAACACTACCTATAATGGAAGAATAACTGGTAAAGAGATGGAACTTGCAAAGATGGATAAGGTAACCTCTTTGATTAGAGAAAGAACTATGTTCATGTTTTATGAGAAATCCCTTATAGACTTTTTTACATGAAACAATAAAAAATACACAGATGATTTGTGGGTTTGATTAGAAAAAAATGGTTAATAGGAAAAATACTTCTTTTCAATCATAAAGTAAGTGTTAACACTATAAATATAATTATATTTTTGCTGCAGAAGAAATCAGAAGCGTCTTTTCACTATTTCTTTCATTTTCTCTTTTTATACTTTTTCTCTTTTCTTACTTTTTTGCTTCTTTTGCTTTTTATTAGTTTGTATTAATTACATTTTTAGAATGTTTTAAAATAAAATCTATATTTAAAAGTGAGGAAAGATTTATATAGCTTCGAAACTACATGGCCATTCATCAGAACTCACCTGACCTTAGTAATTATACAGGTCTGCAAAAGGACAGGAAATCTATTCAGCACCCTGCTCCCAAGTTGCAAAGGTCCAGTATATAAGAAGCACTTCTTAAGTCCCAGCTTTTTTTCCCTAATAATGTTACATGTCAGTCAAATGTTTCAGGCAAGAAACTTAGGAAGACAAAGATCAAGCACGGGAGGGCTTCTGAACTTGTGTTCAATAATGCAGTATTAGTTAATTCAGTGATATGGGCTAGAAGCAAGCAGAAAAAAGTCAGTAAAAAGTATAGTAAATGTCTCCTTGTGAGGATATCTCTGCCGTGTTGGTACTTTAACATTCTAAATAATCAGTGTTATCACTTGCATTAGAATCCATATATGGTAATGAAAGTGGCCTCCTAAATGATAAGTTAGGTCATTAACCTTTGACCACACTGCTTTCTCTTATCTGCTTAGAACAAACTTTAATTGTTTCCTTTGGACTGTGCAAAAATGAAATACAATTAGTTCTCTGACAATTTCTTTGTTTTGGAATGATTTGGATCTTCGAGAACATATTTGGCACTAGGACTGCTATTTGTAGCAACAGTTTTTAGATACTAAATATATTTCATAACATAGAAAATTTGAGAAAATTTATAGAAATTATGTAATGATGTGATATGAAACTGAATGTGAAAGATGAATATGTAACTAAGGTCATGTTTGTATGGAAATGTAAAAACCTGGAACCACGCTGTTCACCAAAGAGATGTTCTTGAAATATATGTATGTATGTATGTATGTATGTATGTATGTATGTATGTATGGTATTTAGCTTTGTTCGGGTAGTTGGTGAGTTCTCTGTTGGAAACGTTATATACTAATTGTTTCAGGTGTTGTGAGTTGTTGGGGGCTTTCTTGTCATATTCTAATTTTTTTAGTTTCTTCAAGAGTTTGTCATTTTTGTAAGTGGTTTCAGTTTCAGCTCTCCAAGTTGTAAGTTTTTTTATCTTGTCCCAAAGTAGAGGGTGGATTTTGCTGCTCAATTCCAGATGTAGTGCTAGCAAATCTTTGTTTAACTGATCCAATTGGAATCTCTTTCTGTGGAGCTTGTTCCTGAGTAGAGCCATTTCAGTTCTTTTCAGGATACGTTTAGTAGCTGCTGTGCTGTGATGAAATGTTAATTTGAAGCAGGTTGGTGTTGCACTGTTGTCTCTGCAGCTGCATAGGAATTTGAGGTCACATAGTATTCTTGCTCTTTTAACTTCCAGCTTCTCATAGGTTTTGGTCTGGCTGTTTATTTCCTCCCCATAGAGGTCTGATATTTGTTTTCTTAAGTTTTCACAGGTACTTACATGTATGCTATTCAGCTTTGTTCGGGTATTTTCCCACATCGTTATAGTTGTGCTTTTAAAGTTGTAGCAGGCTTCTGTATAGTGTTCGTCTGTGAGTCAGACTTACACAGCTGTTTCAGTTTTATATTTGGTGCTAGCCTACTGCTGTGCCAGAATGGTTTTTTCTTCATCCTGATTGGTTGGGAGTCTTGGTCTGTGTTTATTGGTCTTGGAGTTTGCTGTGTTCTGCTTGATTGGTGTTTCTAATATCTTCTGTCTGTTTTGTGGCTTTTTTTGTCTTGGTTGGCTGGCAACATTGTGTTCCTGTATTGGAGGCTTTTAGTGCAGCTTGGCTCCGAGTAAATGGACGGCTATCATTTATTAGGAAGTTAGGTTTCATCTGGGTGCCTGGTTGGGGTGTGTTTGAGCTGGAGGTATCAGGGGGGATCTGTTTGTGCCCAGGTGTTTGCCTGGGCTATATATATATGCTGGTCTTGGTGTGTTCAGGTCTTTTCCCGTGTAAGATTGAGAGTATCTTGGTGATGTTTCGACGAGGTCCCACTCGCCATCTTCAAGCTGGTGTTTTCAGCTTCGTGCTTGTTTGCTCGCACAAGCACGAAGCTGAAAACACCAGCCTGAAGATGGTGAGTGGGACCTCGTCAAAACGTCGCCAAGATACTCTCAATCTTACACGGGAAAAGACCCGAACACACCAAGACCTGCATACCTGTACCCGTGAAAATCTACAAATACACACACACACACACACAAAATACAGTTCTCAAATGAAAAATATGCAATAATTTACACAACCAGTGTAAACATGCATCTATCTACTTCTGCATAAAGCTGCATTTGGAGTTTTCTCATTAAGAATGTAGAATGAGACATGGTGGAGAGAAGAAGAAAGTCGAACAAAGCCTTGCCTGATTTTTGGATTATGTCTCTCTGTCTGTTCCTCTTTTGCCACTTTGTTTAGGACAGTCATGGTGAACCTTTTTGGCACCAAGTGCCTAAAGCAGATACTTTGCACATATCCAAAATGCAATGTGTGTATCCCCGTGCATGCGAACCTCTCTGCACGTACGGGCCCCCTGCACATGCGTGACAGAGACCTGAAGACCAGCTGGCCATTGGGAGGCATGCGCACATGCGGGGCGGAGCTGAGC